ACGATGGCCAGGCTGGAGGTTGAGGCCCAGAACCTGCCCAGGGTCAAGCAAGGCATCGGCAGCAGGACAGGAGTAAAACCCGCCTCCTCCACCCCATGCGAGTGCCCTAACCACTGGCCCACCCTCCCCTCTCCTCCCCGGTGCCTGCCATGTCACTGGGAATGGCCGAACCAGCTCAACCCAGTACCCGGGCCAGGCCTGCCTGTGATGCCCATGAGGAACGGAAACGCTGGAGCCATCGATTGTCTCCATCCTGCCCCATGGTTCTGCCCAGAGCTGGTCAGGGGTGAGGGGCACCAGTGGGGCTGGGGAGGGGCAGAGCTGGGTTGGGCTAGCAGGAGGCTGAGGGTCAGGAGTGAGGGGCACCAGTGGGGCTGGGGGGCGCTGGCCGTACCCCTTCACTTTAACATGGACTGAGGTTCCCCAGCCGTGCCAGGTGGCGGCAGACAGTGGCCTTGCCATGCAGTGCCCGCTCTCCCCCGAGTCCCACTCACCCTGGCACACGGGGCAGCACTTGCCGGGGGGACTGGTGGGGTGGCGACAGCCTGGCGGGTCGCAGGGCGTCTTGGTGCAGGTGACGAAGCCGCGGAGGCAGGCACAGCGGCCGCAGGTGTCCTGGGGGTCTAGGAACTCCTGGCCATTGAGGTAACCCTCGCCCAGGTACTCGCAGCCTGTGGGGGGCCGGACAGAGTGAGCCCAGTGCCAGGCGCTGCTGGGGGGTGAGAGCCCAAGACACCCCCCAGGGGCTGACGCACCCCCCAGCCCTGGCACTCCAGCTGGTGGAGCCCAGCACCCCCCTGGGCTAGCCCAGCCCGGCCTCCACCCACGCCTCACGCCCAACCCACCTTCGCAGACCTGGCAGCACGGCCCCCGGGCAGGGAAGGGGCACTGGAGCAGCGGGCAGGCCCTGGGCTGGCAGGAGACGCTGCCCTCCCAGCAGGTGCAGACGCGGCACGGCTCCGCGGGGTCCGGGAACTGCTCCCCGTTGGGCAGCTCCTTCCCCTGGTACAGGCAGCCTGGGGGCAGAGCGGGCGATGGCACTGGGCACGAGAGCGGGACAGGAGCAGAGACGTGGGGCAGGGGCCGTCGGGAGGTGTTCCTGTTGTAGGAGGCAGCTCTCCTGCTGCAAGGGGGAGCAGAGCACGGGGATGTAGGGGACTTGGGGGGCCCAGCAGGAGACTTGGGGGGTACCGTCACAGGAGTAGCAGCAGTCCCGCCGCAGGGGTGGGCGCAGAGGGCTGGGGGCCCCCACGGGGGACTCGGGGAGCCCAGCAGGGGGTTCAGGGGGCCTAGCGGGGGGCTCGGGGGGTACGAGTCGCAGGAGCGGCAGCAGTCCCGCCGCAGGGGGTGGGTGCAGAGGGCTGGGGGGCCCCACAGGGGGACTCGGGGAGCCCAGCAGGGGGTTCAGGGGGCCTAGCGGGG